AGATCACGCAGGGCGGACTGTACTCAGCCATTTTGCCTAAAGGACTTAAGCATTCGCGATTTTGGTACCTGTTGGGTGTTCTGGAACCGATCCCTGGTGGATACCTAGGGACGACTATACATTGAAGAAGAGGTGTCAACCAGAGCAGCTTCAAAGGCCACAAGTCCCAAGGTTCGCTTGAGTTCATGCCAGCCCCAGGTAAGCAAATAGGATGGTATGTGGCTGGCTCTGCTTTTGGTGTGGAATGGAAGTTACAATTCCTTTTTGGTAACATGGAGATGATAATTCAAGAATATAAGATACATATGATAAAATTTCCAGAAGTTTAATATTGTAAACTCTGCAAACTTGAAGATAAGCTCAAGTATGTGTTAACTGACCTGTAATTCCAAAATTAAAACTGAAGTTATTTATTATTTTCTTCCACCAAACAACAGAAGTGACCTCATATTTATAAGAAAGTTTTCCCGATGTCACGTGAGCATGATGGGAAGTTTCCGGTAACCAATCTGAGGGAGCAAAGTCATCTTAATATATAATATTCTAGCCTGGAATATATCCCTGTTGAAACGCATATGGGCAACTACTAAGGAATGAAAAGCAGGATATAGGCTATCTGTTTTCTAGAAACAAAAAGCTTCAACCTAGGAAAACAATGATGACAGTATCAACTGAATGAACTCAGTTCCTCCGCATACAACTCTTTGAGGATTAAAAAAAAAGTTGTCTCCATCTTACAGGTGGGGAAGCTGAGGCTCAGAGATGTTACGTCAATTGCCTAAATCCTCACAGAAGTTAAATAGCAGAGGCAGGAATTTGAGCCCAGCTCCACCTCTCTCCAAAATGTGCTCTTAGGGCTTCCCTGGTGGCGCAGTGGTTGAGAGTCCACCTGCCGATGCAGGGGACACGGGTTCGTGCCCCGGTCCGGGAAGATCCCACATGCCGCGGAGCGGCTGGGCCCGTGAGCCATGGCCGCTGAGCCTGCGCGTCCGGAGCCTGTGCTCCGCAACGGGAGAGGCCACAACAGTGAGAGGCCCGCGTACCGCAAAAAAAAAAAAAAAAAAAAAGTGCTCTTAAAGCCTTGCATGTTCCCGTTCTGCTAAACCGGGTCCTAATTTTCTTCTCCTCTTCCTCTTGCCTGAGGGTGAATGTGCCAAAGTCCAGCGGCCTAATCTTCAGTCAGCTCTTCACACCCAAATTCCAGGCTGTCGCAACTACCTGCAGCCTGGGCAACATCCCCAGCTGTATGGCCCTCTAACACCTCGAGTGCCGCATCACCAAAATGTCAGCATCATCTTCTTACCCTTCTCCAGCCTCTAAAACTCAGCTCCTCCTTTGGAATTCTGGGTTTTGGGGGGGTTCTTTGTTTTTTCGGTTTTGTTTGTTTTTTAATAGCACAGCCCTGCTCTCAGGATTCTTTGAGAACCTCCCTTGCTGTCCTTCTCCCCCATCCCCACCCAGACTTCTCCCAGGTCCTCCCCCTCTTCCCCTCTAATCCCCTAGCTCTGAATGCTGCTTTCCTCAGCTCTCCGGAGCCTCTTCAGTTGGTGCTCCACATGTCCTAGCTTTCTCTCTTTTAACTCTATACTTCCAGCCATAACTGCCCCAGATGAATCTCCATTCATTCCACCACCCCATTCAGAAACCTGTACCGGGCTTCCCTGGTGGCACAGTGGTTGAGAGTCCGCCTGCCGATGCAGGGGACACGGGTTCGTGCCCCAGTCCGGGAAGATCCCACATGCCGCGGAGCGCCTGGGCCCGTGAGCCATGGCCGCTGAGCCTGCGCGTCTGGAGCCTGTGCTCCGCAATGGGAGAGGCCACAACAGTGAGAGGCCTGCATACAGCAAAAAAAAGAAAAAAAGAAAAAAGAAAAAAACAAAATCTGTACCTCTCCCCTTTGCTTATCCCCCCAAATATAAAGTATTCACCCTTGCCATTTGATGTTCCCCCAATGCACCCACAATTTAACATCCGCAAATGCCCCACCACTACATTACTTGAAGTAGTCCAGGCTTCAGTCAAACTGAATGAGCAACTTTTCCAGCAACATCTTCCTACTTTGTACATTTCCTCACACAATGGCCCAGCCTAAAATGCTCTCCAGCCATCAAGCCCATGACCATCTTTTCCTGACCATTGCAAATGCCTGTGTTGATACTCCACAGTCCTGTGCATCCAAATCATATTTTTGGTACCTCTAGGAAAGTATCTTTCAGATCTCTATTGTTTTATAATTCTATACTTGTACTATTTTTCCTACAGCATAAGCTCTGTGTCATTCTCATCTCTCAGTCTCTTCTAGAACTAAAGAGACAGAGAGAGAGAGAGAGAGAGAGAGAGCTCTCCAGGCTCTACGTTTAAACTCCTGATGTGTCCCTAATGAGGAGTCATGGCTGAGCTCCATAAATTGTTTCCGCAAGGCTCCTGCAATCTGCAATCATCTTGTCCCTCTGGCTAGATGCCCTTCTAGGGCAAGTCATCAGCACTAACAAGTTATTTGCAGGCATGCTGGCCTTTTCATCCAGGATATCGAAGTCATGAGTGTAATCTGGAGGCCTAGGTTAAGATCTTGTCTTATTGCCCCCTGCTCAACTACATGTGATACTGAGACAGTCAAACTTATTTTCCCACAGGAGTACTTAATGTCCTCCTCTGTCAGCCACCCCCATGGCCATGCATCAACACCCATTTCACAGGTACAATGCTGTTTGAAATAGTCAAAGACCAGTGGCATGTCCAAACATATGGGAGATGTCAAATAGCTCATGACATGTCCATGCAGTGGAACACAATGCAGCAATTAAAAAGGAGGAGGTGGATTTACATGCCCTAACATTGAAGGATGTTGGATATATATATTGTTGAATAATGAAAGCAAACTGCAGAAGAATACATTAAGTGTGATTCCATTCTGTTTGCTATTTACAAAGAGTCATATGGAAATATGTATCCATGTATAAATTTATATTAATATAAAGAAGTATCTAGTATAACTGACTCACTTTGCTGTATACCCAAAAACACAACACTGTAAATCAACTATACTCCAATTTTTAAAAAAAGACATAAAAAAAAGAAGTATCTAGTAAAATAACCAGTAAATTATGAATAGTGGATACCCCAGGGAATGGGTAGAGGTGGGTTTCACTTTTCCCGTTGTGTTCTTCTGAGTGGTTTGAATGTTTGTTGAGTGCAACTTATTAAGGAATTTATAATTATAGCAACAACAATATTTTTTAACCTGGTATTTACAGGTACCTAGTGTAAAAATATACATAATTTATATAGCCAACATTAGCACCCTTTGTCCAGGTCCCACTATCAAAATCCCACTACCTAAGGTCCCACTATCTGACATTACTTAAAAGGTGGGAAAGATGCACCTCAGAGCAGATCTCGTGTTTCGGAGTCTCTTTGGGGTTGTGAAAGGTGCTGACACATTTTAAAATAATACAAGAAATGACAAGCACTCTTTTTGAAGAAGCTCCCTGGTTTTCAAAGGCAGATAAAGCTGTTAGGACACTTTTACTTACTGTAAATTAAATTTGAAGTAAGATTTTAATTGAGTGTGTTTCCTAAAGCACAGCCTCCTTAGAAATGTATTAAGAGGGACCATAGGTGAAATAGTAATGGAATCACCACCTTCCTAACGTACTGTCCCAATCGGTCTCCCAGCAAGTGCCATCCCTGCTTGACATCTGAAAATAAATGTGATGATACACTCCTTCCTTAACAGTTAGCTCGGATAGGTTGGGAGTTTGGGATTGACATGTACACACTGCTATATTTAAAATAGATAGCCAACAAGGACCTACTGCACAGAGAACTCTGCTCAATACTCTGTAATAACCTAAATGGGAAAAGAATTTGAAAAAGAATAGATACATGTATAACTGACTCACTTTGCTGTACACCTGAAACTATTACAACACTGTTAATCAACTATACTCCAATATAAAATAAAAATTAAAAAAAAAAAAAAAAAGAGTTAGCTCTACCAAGCCATACTGTGGGACCAAAGGCAAAGAGCTGACCAGAAAAGGAAACTAGGTTACAGGGGTTATACTTTTTCAGATCAGCTAAGAGCACTGTGCACAATGTTTAAGGTGTTCCTAAGTGTGGGAAGTATTAGGAAGAAGTATGGGCAATCTGAAAACCCAGGCACCCTTCAGCTATACTGAGGACCAGTCTAAACATAAAATGCTCGTGCACACCAGAATAAATCAAAGGGCACTTGTGTTACTTACAACAAGCCACACAAGAAGGTACTCTCTGAATCCCCATGTCCTATGATTGCTTTGCTAAACACAATGTGATCTGCGGACCAGCAGTCTCAGCACCACCTACCACAGAAGAACGTCTTAGAAATACAGCATCTCAAGCCCCACTCCAGACCTCCTGCCGCCCTGTGCACACCAGCACTGCCGCCCCTGAAAGCTCTGGACAGAGGGCCTCCTCGCAGTGGGGGTTCCACTCACTGCTCCTAACAGGACTTGTCTAGGGTCAAGGAGATACTGAATTAGAAACCTGCCTTGGGACCCCAATTCCAAAGGGAGTGAAGGAGGTCAAAGAAAAGAAAGGGAAAGGAAGGCACCTGGGCCAGCACTTGCCTGTTTGAGGATAGGATGGGTATGGCAGTCAGGCCAGGTGCCCACCTGGCCAGCCAATTTCATCAGGAGGAAGCCAGAGGGGTGCTAAGGCAGGCTGCTCAGCCCAGGGGAGCAGGCTGCAGGATGGATGCAGCTGTGGACTGTGAGACAGGCCCCCAGGTGGGAAGCTTAATGGAAGGGGGAACTAGGCTTGAGTGCGGCTTGAGCTTCTACAGAGGGGCAGAGAGAGAGGGAGGGAGGGAGGGAGAGGGAGAGAGAGTCCCAGATGTCAGACAGAGAGACTGACAGCAGGGGCAGAGGATCAGACATCGGACTGCTCGGCAGATTCCCTGCCAGAGAAAGAGGACGCGGCCAAGGTGAGGGGTCCGGGGGTACAGAGGCCTGACTCACAGCTGCGCGATGCCCGCCTTGCGCACAGCGGTGGAGATGGCTTTGACCGCGGTGCAGAGCGAATTGAGCAGTTGGGTCATCTCGCCCGTGCCGCGGGCCTTCCTGCCCTCCTCCATGACGAAGCGGGTCAGGGTGACGATATTGGTGTCGAAGGCCGCCTGGTCCGTCATGCTGTGGCCGGGCTGCTGAGCGCTGGGCGGCAGGTGCAGGCCGCGGGACGCGGTGGGACGCGGCAGGACGCGGCTGGAGCGCAGACCGACGGAGGGTCAGCACCGCTCGGAGTGGGCCCGGTCCCAGCGGGGTGTCCCGCGGAGCCTATAGGCGCGGGTCACCGCCCTCCGCCCACAGGAACACCTCCGCGCCCCGGCCCCGCCCCTCCAACTGCAGCCCCGCCCACTCCGCCCTCCACCCCCACCCCCGGTCCGGGATCCTTGTCCAGTCTCAGTTCCTCCAACAGCGGAGCTGTCCCCTCCCCCGCGGCCCACCGCCACCTCCGGTTCCTCCGCTGTCGCCGCGCCACGCTTCCTCAAAGCACGGCCACTGGCGTGGTGGAGTGCTGCTCCGGGCCACCTTCATGGTCTTTTTCAGTCCCCACAACGACCCTGCCACAGAGTTGCAATCATGATTTTCCCCCCAAGATATAAAACGTAAGTTGGGAAGGGTAAGTGTGGTGCTCAGTGCAGCGCTGCAGCCCAGCTGCTCCCGGGTTCCGGCAGGAGGCTCTAACCACTGCGGTTCCCTCCCCCACCGTGGCCACCTGCCATCTGCTCCCTGCCCTCTGTCCACCCCTGCTTGGCCTGTCACCTGGCTCTTCTGACCAACTTCAGGAGATGTGGATTCCCTTGTTCCTTACCTGTCTGATGGCCCGGCTTTGGTTCCTTAATTCAGGCCTCTTCTCAAGATTCCTGTAATTTGAGAGCTGTTGGGGACCTTCCTTTCCAACAACTGCATTTTGTAGAGAAAACAGTCACAGACACAGGAAAGTGTCTCCTGGATACCACGCTGAGGACAGGGGCTCCGAGGCCACATCTTGACTGCTTTGTAGGCACATTGCTGCAGTCGTAAGGCAGTTCATACACTGATTCATAGAACATTTATTGAGCACTTACTGTTAGTGAGACAGTGCTTTGAGAACTATCCCCTGTCTCCTTGTCACAAGTAACAAATGCTTCTGTTTAATCAAAGTACTTGGTGTGGGGACTTCCCTGGTGGCATAGTGGATAAGACTCCATGCTCCCAGTGCAGGGAGCCTGGGTTCCATCCCTGGTCAGGGAACTAGATCCCACATGCATGCCGCAACTAAGAGTTCTCATGCCGCACTCAAGACCCAGTGCAACTATATATATATATTTTTTTTTTTTTTTCTAAGTACTTGGTGTGTTCATTGGCTAAGCACCCCAAAAGATGGACCCATTGAGTCCAGTACAATTTCTGGCAACTCTGGTAGGACGTGTGCCCTGACCAGGGACAAGGGGAGCCGGCCACACTGGAGTGAAGTAGACTTATTCGCTTCTGGTATTGGTCAGATCATCCGGGTTCTCTTGGTCAAACATTGTTCTTCTGGGCATCAATTGGTTCAGAGACTGCTCGCCCCCTGGATCTCTGTGGGCAAAGTGGTCACGCGAACGACTCTGTTCAGTGTTCAGTGCTAGTGTTATCGAGTCCAAGCTCGCTCTGCTCGCCTAATGACAGGCCAGTGAATCAGAGAAGAGCTATTGAGGCAGGGAATACGACTTTATTTGGAAAGATGGCAGACTAGTGTCGCTGAAAAACCGTCTTATCAGGGTTTGGATGCCAGTTTCTTTTATAGCACAGAGAAGGGGAGGAGATGGGGAAGTAAAGTAAAAAGGCCATACGTTTTGCAAATATCCCCTAAAATGGCCAGCCTCAGGGAGGGGATGTGTTAATTTCTTCTTTCTTGCAGCCATCCACAGGTGGGCGGGGTCAGATTGTCTCCCTGTGAGCTGAACAGAGGCACTTTAGTTTAACATTCAGGCAGAGGGGCCGGGTTCCCTGAGGCAGGCCATTATGTATGATTATAATAACAAAAACAACGAAAAGCAAAGGTTAAAGTCAAAGAAACAGATCGAACATGGAATCTGATTGATTTAGCTCTTCCATGTTACATCAGCAGACTTCAGAGGGTGTGTAGAATTCAGGACCGGTGCTATAATAGGTGGGGATATCAGGATAGCCTCACTTTTGATGAAAGCAGAATTTGAGAAACACACAACTGGGCTTGGGTATTTGATTTCACCCTGGGTTTGAGTCCAGGGGTTCTGATTTTTATAACTGGGAGGTTGCATTCCTGCCGGTAAGCAACCGCAGGTCTCTGTGAGTGGGAACTCCATTCCTACTATTCTGGAAGGTTGCATTCCTTCCTGTGGGAAACTAGAGACCTCTGGGTTTAGAAGCCACCTTTTCTGTGACTGGAGGGGGGCGAGGGTTGAGTTCCTTTTTAATAAGAAACAAGAGACCTCTGGGTGCAGGGAACACAGGTGTGAACAGGGTCCCTGAAATCACTCTTCCAGATGGCAGAAACTGACTGCCAAACTTGGGTCTGATTATCTTATATGTTTAAAAAAAATTAGTTGAGGGCTTCCCAGGTGGCGCAGTGGTTGAGAGTCCGCCTGCCGATGCAGGGGACACGGGTTCGTGCCCCGGTCTGGGGAGATCCCACATGCCGTGGAGCGGCTGGGCCCGTGAGCCATGGCCACTGAGCCTGCGCGTCTGGAGCCTGTGCTCCGCAACGGGAGAGGCCACAGCAGTGAGAGGCCCGCGTACCGAAAAAAAAAAAAAAAATTGGGGCCTGTGTTTTATGTCTTTTTAATCTCATTTTTCTTGAAATTCATTTTTATTGTATTCTACAGAAGCATTGACCCATGATGGATTGGGAATGTTTTTTAAAACCAGTCTTTCACCACAAATAGTTTGAGAAGCACCACTGAGGATGGCAGAGGACCTTCAAAGTTTTATGACAAATGACATGTGACAAGATTCTACTTTTCCTAGATGTAACGCTTGGGGTAGATTGAAGTGGAGAGAAAATTGAGAAAGAGACACCAAGTGGGAGGCTCCCAGGACCGTCTGGGTGGGAGCCAATAAAGGCCAGTGGGAGCAGAGATCAATATTCTGTTATAACCTAAATGGGAAAAGAATTTGAAAAAGAATAGATACATGTATCTGTATAACTGAATCACTTTACTGTACACCTGAAACTAAAACAACATTGTTAATCAACTACACTCCCATATAAAATAAACATTTAAATGCTGAAGTCATAAAAAAATTTAAAAGACAAAACCAAAAACAAACCACTCACAAGATTATCACCTGGAGATTCTTTTAACTAATGGAAAGTATTTCACTCTGTGAGTATACCAAAACACTTCTCACTAGACTCTTACTGATGATACCCATTGAATTGTTTCTGTTTTTAAAAATAATAACGGGGACTTCCCTGGTGGCACAGCGGTTAAGAATCCACCTGTCAAAGCAGGGGACACAGTTTCGATCCCTGGTCCAGGAAGATCCCACATGCCACGGAGCAACTAAGCCCACGAGCCAAAACTACTGAGCCCATGCACCGCAACTACTGAAGCCCCTGCACTCTAGGGCCCGCGTGGTGCAACTACTTAAGCCTGTGCGCCTGCAGCCCGTGCTCCACAACAAGAGGAGCCGCTGCAATGAGAAGCTCACGCACCGCAATGAAGAGGAGCCCCTGCTCACCGCAACTGGAGAAAGCCCGTCCACAGCAACAAAGACGCAATGCAGACAAAAAAAAAAAAAGTGATAATAATAATAATAAGGTATGATGCAGTGATGTATATTCATGTACACCAAGTGTTGCCCTTATATCCAAATCTTTCCTTTTAATAAATTCTTCCAAGTGTAATTTCTCAAGAAAAAAAAGAAATAAATAAAAAAAGAAAAAGGGCATAATGGAACATCCATGGGCTGGGTTTCTTGAATGTGTCTTCACTGCCTATGACAGTGATTAATCCCTATGACAACCTCCTGAGGTTCTTAGCTCCATTTTCATAAAGCTTAGACAGGTTTACTCTCCTGCCCAATGCCATACAGTAATAAGTAGCTGAGTGGGGATTTGAACCCAAGCACTAAACATACTGCTTCTGTACCATGGGATGAGACTAAGAAGGAAAACACCCAGATTCCAGGACCAGCTCTGCTAGAAACCAGCTTATCTTATGAATGTCACTTAATCTCTTTGGGCCAAGCTTCCTTACTTGTAAAATAAGGAAGTGAAACTAAACGTTTTTGCAAGATTCCTTCCTTCTTTTACATTCTTTGACTCTGAGTAATAATAATAGCTAATGTTTGTTGAGTTCTTATTAAATGCCTAGCATTGTGCTAAGTGTGGTTTTAAACAAATTATATCATTTGATCCCACACACCCTTATGAATAAATGCAGCTATGATTCCACTTTGACAAATGAGGAAACTGTGGTTTGGAGACATTAAGTAGCCCTCCCCAGGTCACACAGCTAAGCAGCAGGGTTAGCAGGTTCTAACTCAGAGAAGCTGCCTCAGGAGCCTACTTCTTAGCCTGTGTGGCTTCCAAGATCTCTGTAGCCCAGTTCCCTCCTGCCTCAAGCCTGGGCCACTTGCCTGAAACAGTTCACCCCTCTCCGTGAGCTCACTTGTCCTTGGTAATTCTTGGCCACCAGACAGGTCTCTGAGGCCCAGCTCCCCGGAGCTGGGTCAGCTCCCCTTCTGTGGGCCCTCACTGCCCTTTGGACCTCCTCCATCATCTACTTATTCCAGTGCTCGGTACCTTTGCTGCCCCCCACACTGGGCTACAAGCTCCAAGGAGGGCAGGAACTGCCCTTGCTGCCCCAGGACATAGAACAATGCATCGTACTGTAAAAGGGTAATGTTTTTACTTAGAGCTGCACTCGCTGAGGAGATATCAGAACGGAATGCTGCTTCACCTCAACTCGTTCTAACTGGTTGAAGAGACCCAGGATGCTAGACCCATAGTAGAACTCACTGAAGACCCTTTTGTGACCAATGAACAAGGGATTTTTTTCTAAGCCATCCTATCCAGGGTACATGCTGTCAATCCTCAATTAGCATAGCTACCACGAAACCTATTTTTTCTAATTCCTAAAACAAAAAAACCTGAGTTTTCTCCTCCCAGAAAAAAAGTGAGTGAATTCCTTCACTTGCCTGACAAGTAAATAAATTCAGCATTAGTAGTAGTAGTAGTATAGTTGTGTATGTATGGCTCTCTCTGATGGTCATTGTACTATTCTTTGACAGCAC